GTATTCACCAATATTCAGGCAATTGTCAGGCGGCTGAAGCCAAGAGCGGGCGCGCGGGCAGAAGTATACCTATATCGTCCCAAAATATATATCGCGCTAAATTGAAATTTAGATAACGACTGGGGACGAGCCTGACTCTGTGACAGGGTTGACGGGGTTGAGTTCCTGCGGATCCTGTAACAAACAGGGGCCGGTTGTTCAAAGCTGGGTTAGCGCTAACCCTAGGCTAAAATTTAACTCACCGTTTTTTTATTTGGGTGCATTTGCACTTTTGTTTATTTCAAAACTTCTAAAATAAAACTTCTATTGATACAGATATGAATTTTAGAAAACTATCTTCATGTTTCTAAACAGACTGTTGGAAAGATTGCTTTGATCGTTAACCTAGGATTAAGCTAACCAACTTTCGAACAACCGACCCCAGTTGTCTGATATGATTGCTAGGCTTTGGATTGGGCTTAGATTTCCAGTAAAGGACTGTCCGTAAAACGCTTATATAAACGGACATCAGTTCAAACGTTTAACTTTCTTCATGTACGGAACCCAATGCAAATAAAGTGAAACAATGATTTTTAGGTCATTTCAGGTTCTGCAACTTCTGCACACGATGACATCATATACCACGTTTGAACTAAAGGTGAGTATTTAATGCGCATTGAGAACATTCTTTCAACGTTCAAAGGTACAGGACATAGCCCAGATGATTGATGTAGAAGTTCAAGTGTATGGAAATTAGTTTTCTAAACGATGGAAAATCACCCACGGGCCCTCCATGCAAATATTTCTGGAATAGACACCAAGGTGGTTTACAGTGGCATTTCTTTCTTACAATTTTTACATACATTCATATTTACAATAGTACAGGTGTTACGTAACTTTATAAATCAGTCTTAAGTCAAGTAGCCGAAATTCGTAAACCTCTGCTTTTACAAGTTGGATATTCCTGTACATCACCAAGTAACGTTTTACCCTTTCCCGTAAACTCATTGAGGTTAAGCCATAATTCAGTTAATTTACAACGTTCATCTTGCAGCGCCTTACACAAAGTGGGTATGCAACGATCTGTTAACGAACACGAAATAAGATCCAACTCGGTAAGCTTGCAATGATCTTTTGTCAGAGCATCTTCAAACAACATCCCTACATCTTTGTCACCTATGGCATTGTAGCGCAATGATAGAACAGTCAGTTGACAACGTTCATCTTGCAGTGCCTTACACAAATTAGGTATGCATTGATCCGTTAACGAAAACTCTTCAAGATTCAACTTAGTAAGCTTACAATGCTCTTTTGTCAGGGCGTCTTCAAACAACATACATGCACCTTTATCACCTATGGCACTTTCCCCAAGTAATAGATCAGTTAGTTGACAATGTTCATCTTGCAGTGCCTTACACAAACTGGATATGCAACGATCTGTTAACGAACACGAAATAAGATCCAACTCATTAAGCTTGCAATGCTCTTTTGTCAGGGCATCTTCAAACAACATACCTACACCTTCATCACCTATGGCATTATTTCCCAGTGATAGAGCAGTCAGTTGACAACGTTCATCTTGCAGTGCCTTACACAAACTGGGTATACATTGATCCGTTAACGAAAACTCACGAAGATTCAACTTAGTAAGCTTACAATGCTCTTTTGTCAGGGCGTCTTCAAACAACATACATGCACCTTTATCACCTATGGCACTTTCCCCAAGTAGTAGATCAGTTAGTTGACAATGTTCATCTTGCAGTGCCTTACACAAACTGGATATGCATTGATCCGTTAATAAACAATTACGAAGATCCAACTTAGTAAGCTTGCAATGCTCTTTTGTCAGGGCATCTTCAAACAACATACATGCACCTTTATCACTTATGCTATTGTTCCACAATGATAGAACAGTCAGTTGACAACGTTCGTCTTGCAGTGCCTTGCACAAACTGGGTATGCAACGATCTGTTAACGAACACCTAGTGAAAGTCAACTCGGTAAGCTTCCGAAGTCCTGTAGTCAGAGTATCAAACAACACACTTGCACCCTCATACTTTAACACTACACATAGAAAGTACACACATGTAAGTTCTGTACAATTGTTAAGGGCTTCGCAAAGTTTCGATATACCAAATAAACCTATTGTTGCATAACCTAGATATAATTCCTCAAGATGACTTGCATGCCCATTTTCGAAAAACATGCACATGTTTGGTAATTCTTCGTCGGTAATCGAAAAAAGCTGGAGCTTTAACGAAGTCAGCTTAGTGTGTTCGTGGTTCAACGTACAGTTTAATTTTATGAATGCACTGAATACAGGTTCGCTGCTCACAAGTTCATATATTCCATTCAATTCTAGTTGCTTTATGCATCTTTTTTGCAGCAATTCTTGGATTTCCTGAACACTGCCTGCATTGGCCGGTTCCAATTCTAAACTTGCCAAGTTTTTCATGTGTTTGCAAAAAAAACTCACCACCGCCATTTCACTTGGGGAAGCACGATACTTAGCACTATCAAGCCTTACAACATTGTTCAAAGCAGTTGTCTCGCAAACTTCTTTAGCAATCTTGCCATTGTCCACTTCCATTAAACATGTCATTGCAAACACGTGATTGTGATTAAGTTTAATTTCACCATGAGTAACTTTGAGTCTTTCTGCAAATGCCCAAACACAATCTTTGTACTCAAACATCTCGATTTTCTTACCCAAAAGTCCTGCAATGAACTGAAGAACTAAATGCCATCTACCACTTCCAACATGATCGGAAATAAACGTCTTTATTTCAGGTGGAGCAAGTGTTTCAGTCACGTGTCTTGCAGCTAGAAATTCTTGTATGGTTAAATGAACAAAACAAAACTGTGTTTGAATTGGAAAAATAGGATTGGATAAACTGTTCAACAAACAAGACTTCTTCATTTGTTCATCAACAGATTCTTGATCAAAAATCAGGTTGTGATTTTTCATACCGCCGAATGCTAATATTTGAAATTCCTTTAAAGCCTCTTTCGTTGTCATATAAGGGTTTCCTAGCTCTGTATTTCTGTTATTATCGTATTTTACATAAGAACCTAAAGCGTCCTGGTAAAGTTTTGTTAGTGTTTTTGGAAGAGCATTTGTGTTATTTTTCGGCTCACTAAGACATTCAGAGAGGGTGACACATATTATACGGCAGTTAACTGGAATGTAACATAAGTTCAACAGTTCTGATGAGGATTTGATGTGCTTCCATATCTTTACTTCATGGCCCGTTTTGTTATTTTCTTTACAACATTGGCGGACATACTCTTCAATTTTATCGTGAGTGAAACCAATAATCTCCACCTTTCGATTAAAATTAAGCTTGGAGTAAAAATCATCTGCAGTCGGTCTGCCCGTTACTAGAACCGTTGCTCCTTTCAACAGGTCGCCCAAAACCAGTTTTACAAATAAATTCATTATAGACATGCAAGTTTTGGGGTCATTTGGAATCATTCTGGATTGGTCTGAACAATTGATTCGGTTGCCGTGAAATTCATCCAAACCGTCAAAAATAAGAATGGCTTTTTGTGGCTTTTTAGTAATTTCTTCATAAATACTTTCAAATTTTTCATCGCTCAGTCCCGTTCCAAACTGAAGAAATGTCTTTAGGGATATGTTTTCTGATGTATTATTGAACCATCTTAATTTAAAAAAGAAGGCGATCTTCTCACAATAATATTTATTAATTTGATTAGTGGCTTCAGCCCAATCACGGAGAATTTTTTCGGTCAAGATCGTTTTTCCAATTCCCGGACGTCCAATCACCAGAATGCTACGAGGAAAATTACCCTTTGTATCTTTGTTGGGGTAAAATAAATCTTTAATATTTTCTAAACTTATGGATTCTAAAGGAACTTGGGTATAAACATCGAAAATTTCGTGTCTTTCCATGTCTTTGGTAAATTTGTGCGGAGCTCGTTCAGTGTGGATAACAACTTTAATATAAAAGTCAAATCGAGGACGACTCAAAATTTGTTGTTTGTAAAAGTATAAACATTCGATGGGTGTCAGCATGGGTGTCAGTTGAAATCCAAGAGGTGCATATTGCTTGCGAAGAAGATGAGCTCTTACAAAGTCAGTATCACAACTCCAGTCAACTCTAGAACGAGAGTTGAGGAATGGTAAACGTCGCCAAGAGAGATAAATAACTTCCACAAGTATCACAAAGGCAACAATACCGTTTATTATGGACACAAATATACCCAATAACTGTTTTTGTGACGCGGTTGCATTTTCACATGTTACTATTGTAGTGTTGTAAGTACAGCTGAATTTGAAATCAAACCCATTAGAATAGAAATATGTGTGTTGTAAAACAGTTAAAATGATCCCAAATAACGCACGCACAACAAGGTGGACAAAATAGAAATAAAAAACATATACCGTTTTCCTGTCCTGTTCATGATTCACGGCAGCTTGTCGTTCATGTCTTGACTCTATTTCGTCAACGCGATCGCGCACTGTCAGTGAATAAACAACACTGACAAGAACTGGCAATCCAATACTGACTAAAACAAAGCCGTACAAAGGTAGATGGGGGCTATACAACTGATCATACCTTGCCAAACATGCCTGATCGACCTGTTTCTTGTACGTAGCCGTACTTTTAGCATCAACAGAGCAAGAAAATTTCCCGTTCTCGCTATCTCTCAAAGCTGCAGTAAGAGCAGTAAATACCAATCCACAAAGGAAATGAACAATTACACATACATAGCCGACAATACCAAATCTTTTTGGAACTAAATAATCCTTGACTGTGTCTATCATCTTGGTAATAATAAGAAAGCCAACAGCGCTACCCAACAGCGTTACCGCAGAATAAATAATCACCGTTGCCAGGTGGATTTTTAGAGCAATGACAATGTTCATTGTAAATTTTACTTCTCTCTGCTTCAAACTAGTAAATTTTCGATGCAAAAATGTTTCTAATGTATTGCATATATTAACATAATATATCCAACTGAACAAATGAAATGCAACAAAGAGTTGAAAATAACGACAATTCCTAATCGTTATATCATTTGTTTACGAATACTCAACGTTTATATCTATTAAAATATTAATATCAGTTGTTTTGCAGCTGCTAACTACGGTGACCCACAGGTGCCACGGCAAAAACTTCACGGCACGAACAAAAACTCCACGGATAAAAGAACTAGTGGTTTAAGAACCGCCATATTTAAAGCATCTAAATTACAATAACCCGATTTACTTGAGTCCGAGAAGCAATTGACAGGATGGCAAAATTGCATGGGAAGTTTTTCGGTCTTTGACATTGTTAAAAGTTCAGCAAATAAATTATGCAAAATCTATAAAAATAACTAGAAAATAGCAAAGGTTCAATGGTTTCTTTACAAAGCTAGTTGATTTGAGAAACTTGCTTTTTGACGGCTATTTCAACCATGTTTCAACACAAATTGGAAAATCACCAAAGCCGGGCAGAAGGCCTAGGACGAGGTTGTGAATACAGAAACAGGTATTTCACAGCACACTCCCTATATCAGGGCTTTTCAGTGACTGGTTACATTATGAATAGATAGATAGAACCGGACTGACGTGAAGCAGACCGAGGTAGGCTTTGAGCTTACAAATGGCGCTTAAGCAGCCGCTATTAGTCCATACCTCATTAATGATCTGTCTCCAGAGTCCAGACCTATGTGCCTAACCCACCCTCACTTTCCCTGTGGGAGGAAACACGGAGTACCCGGAGAAAACTCACGACTTTCGCTGCCTCGTACCCAGGCGCTTACATGAAGTATTCAGGTAGGCATCCGACGCGCGAAGGGGCTGTTGGGAAGGGTGCGTGCTGGGGAGCGCCTGGCAGTTCTTGTATACTGTCATGGCGGGAAAACAGGGAATTTTATACAAAAAGTTACCATATCGTCATGTACTGTGTGTAAAACCTTACTTTGTGATGAAGAGTTGAATTGTACGCCATTGGCAAAT